ATTTGGTGCAAAAATAATATCTTTATACAAATATCTGTGCTGTTCTTTACTGCTTCTTAAGGGCATCATAATTCACATTTATTTTCCACAGAGCAATTCTCCCTCTCAGATTTGTTACAACTTTGGAGAGAAGCTGCTGTAACTCCTGGGAATGGCTGCCTAATGGGCATTTAAAGCGTCTGCCCCATATGTGTCTGTTGGAGGGAGTGAGGCATTCTGTGGATCTGAGGTTGGGGCTCTCTGCCAGGGTACAGTGGGGACAGCAGTCGAGAACCCAGCTGCCCCTATCAAGTGGCTTGTAAATATTTAAAAAGCAGCGTCGTGGGCCCCATCTTGAGTAAAGGACTTCTTGGGGATTTTTGAAAAACAGCACAATGTTTGAATGACTCAAGATGATGAAAGGGCAGAGGGATGAGAGAGATGGGTGGTTGTTGTTGTTGTGTTTGTCTGCAGCTTCTGTATCTTCCCAGCAATAAAATGCTGGGCCTATTTATCACTGGTGTTGCTGTTTAACATCATGACACAGAGGGTATTGTTTGGAGAATGCAGGAGCTTACGTACATTTCTGAGATTCTGACAACCACTGGATGATGGGTTATAGTTTTCTAGGGCTAAATTAAGTTGTGTACAAGTCAGCAAACCGGAAATGGTCAGTTCTCAGTAGTTAGGATGGACTTGACTTTAAGATACAATATATCCTATTTTTTTTGGGTTGATCAAGACAAATAATTTTTTGGCCTTGTGGGACACGCTTCATTTTCCCCAAGGGACCAGAGACAATAGTCTCATGTTAGCATTAGTGGAAAATATAAAAGTTCAGTTTAAAGCAGTCAATGACAAATTGCTTTATATAAGCTAAGAGAACAAAAAAACCCATAGTGAATTTGACTGGGAGTAAACACACTGAAAATTGAGCATGAAGTCAACAACTGTAAGGATGTAAAAACAAAATTCATCCATCATCAGTGCACTAAAAGAAATATGACTAAGCTTGATGTCATGCAATTACTGTAGTCATGCAACAACTACACCTGATGTAGTTAGCCCTGCATGGCTCCTCCCTGTGCTAATGGTTTGTTTTGCTGTTTTGTTCTGGACATCTCGCCCTCGTCTTTCTCCTCAAGAAGTTACAGCTGCAGACATTATCCTACAGGGTGCGTTCGTGGGGGCCGCTGCATCTTTCCACAGTCATTAGTGAACATCATCAATAATAGATCTCCCTCTCTATCATGCCATCTCTGCTGCCTCCTCCCCCTGCACTTAAGCCTTGGATGCATGGTGGGCTCCGATTACTGCCGATCGATTGTGGAGGAGAGAGAGGAGGGTGAGAAAGGGAGAAGGAGGGAGTTGGGGATGGGGAGGCACTTTTCCCATGAGGCTGAGGGTTGCAAAAAACTCTGCTTTCATAACAATAACATCACATGAAGGGCAGAGAAACACAAAGACTTAGACATAGTAAGAACCCGAGGCATAATTTTATACACAAACATATTATGTCACACAACTATACTGTTGCTTGTGCACAAAATACTGCATTTCTGCCATTGTGCAGAACCTTGTGACTCAGTTTTTTATACTAGCAATTGCATTACATTTACACTGCAACCAGCTGATCACGGTTTGGTAAAGAAATTCAAAATTGTGTTGTCTATTAAAATAATAAAGTCATTTAGCATTATCAGAAAGTAAAACATTTGAAACCAAAGTAACTGGCAAGACTCTACCACATCAACATGCAGCAGTTAAGGATCATTCACCAAGTCACAGTGACATGCTGTTGGTAAGAAAATGAATATAACCATTCTTGCTCAGGTACCAGCCCAGAACTAGCACACTGCTATCGATATCAATGTGGCTGATACTTTAGTTAGCCCTATATATGTTTGGCTCAAATTCTCATGACCCACCAGTACGAGCAAAGATGGTTAACAGCTTACCTTGTCACCTGAGTCCGAGTGTTGAAGTCCAGTGAGCGCATTGACTTCAGCACTTCAATGCAGCCCATGTACTATAAAGACAAACAACCAAAACGTAGCTAAAAAAGAATTATTCACATATGGCTGCAGACAGACTCTGGTCAAGACTAACTGCCTCTTTTTCAGTTTTCATTATGAACTGGTCATGTGGTGTGTTGTGAATGCTGTAATAGTTGTTTTCAGTTGTACACAAAAATAAAAGACTCATCATATCCAAAATAGAGCATTGCTTCAAGAATTCAAAAATGGATGCTAAAATTAAAGAAGTCATTATGGAAAATGAATGAAACTATCAGGTTCCTTGGGACATAAACTAGCATTATAAAACAACAATAAACATGTATAGCAGACACTGTATTTGCAGAAAATCTTTTCAAACTTGAATTTCAGTGGCACTGCAAACCTTCTCTAAACGTAATTTCCAGCAGTGCATCATAATCTAACTCAATTCCACACGTAGGCCATTATAGTGTACTCCAGTGGCCAACAGCCAGCTGAACAGCTTCCTAATGGCTGTCAGGTTGGGGTGCTAATGGCACTGTGACTAGATTAGCAGCACCAAGAGCTCCAAATCATGAACAAACAGTAGCTTCTTAGGTCTCTTGGGGATGCTAAGAGTGTGAGTTTGTTTGCCTACTGTATGCTATCCATGCATATAAGAATGTTCTGTACTTATTAGCATATCTGTGAGACTTACAAAAAGGGATTACGACTTCATTTTTTTTGTAAAACATCTATAATATGTGCCTCTATCCATGGGAAACTGATGAAAACAAACCTTCTGCTTAACTACAAGGCATGTAGCATATGTTAATGTGCAAAGTTTCACTTAAGTAAACCAATAAGTAAACACTGTTGTCAGGTGCTGGAAGAGATACTGTGAACAACCCCTGAACCCAACTAATAGGCCCTCTGAGGAGGCGGCAGCATTCATGTTCATATCTACATGTTAATATATTGCTGTCTCTGTGCTTGTCTTGTTCATCCCATTAAAGTAAATGATAAATGGTAAATGGACTGTATTTATACAGCGCTTTGTTCCACAGTGCGTTGCACTGGCCAAAGCGCTTTACAGGAGATGATACACCTTTCACCCATTCACAAACAACATTCACACACTGATGACGAAAGGAACTCATACACAATATGGGATGTCTATTTCATAAACTCTCAACAAACTTGCTCTGTGCTACATAATTAACATCCTATCCACTCAACTGTAGCTTCCAGGATTATTACTGTCAGCAGACAGACCACACAGCAAACAAACATACACACACAGAGAGAGGACCGGAGATTAATGAGCTTCCTAACCAGATTTGGACATGGGTGGGAAGTCTTCCATATGCTTTCATTGTCACGCACTCATCTGCTGATGCAACACATCCCTTTTATCCCCATATCTGCCCTCTAATGCTTTTGGCTAAGTCGCTTGCACACCATTCCTGTGACAGGGAGACAATGAGACACTGACTTTCCAAGTACTTCTCAGAAATTTCCAAGGACTTCTCAGAAATGTAACAACACTGGCATCCCCTTTCAAACTTTCTTGCACTGTGGCTAACTTTTTTGAAAGCAGTCAGAGCAATTTTATAAGAATTTGTCAACATAGAATTCCCAGTTCTTTATCTAATATTGTCTAATTAGTAGTTTATCATTAGTAGCAATAGATGGGCAGAGAATGGACAGACAATAAGGACAGTGGGATATTACGGAACAGTATCTCTAGTGTAGATAGTAAAGGATTAGCTTTTAAGTTTATACTTTTATGCACTGTTCACTGCAAATTAGAGCACATGAGGATAAAATTAACTCAACGCAGCATGGTGGGACCTTTGTAGTAATGCCACCACTAGCATTAAAAAATCAGATATTTATAAGCTGATGAGATAATACTCTGTACCACAATGTACAGGAACAGTATAAAATAGTATAGCAGTATAGCAGTCTGTTTTTATTAAAGCTCTCCAAATGATAGCTGCTCTGGCAGCTGCAGTGCGCTGTTTGATGGTTGCTGCAATGTCCTGACTGTCACAGATGGCAGACGCTCATATTTGTGTCTTTCCCATCAAAGGGCAACTGTGTGTGGATGTGTGAGTGAATGAGTGAGAACAGACATAGAGGAAGAGAGAGCTGTGCACATTGGTATTTATGCTGTTTAAAAAATGGCACAGCGCAGCAGAAATCTACTGTCACTTTGACACTGATACATGCAGCAAGTTCTCCTCCCTGCTTATATTTACCGTTGAATTGCACATATAGCACTGCTTTAACAGCCATGAAATGCATTTTAAACTACATACAATGCAAGCTTATGGTCAAATATAGGTTGCATTGTCTATAAATATACATGGTCATAAAGTATATGGTGTATACATCCTATGGTAAATCGTGCAGCAGAACAACAAGCCTTGCTACATTCTGCACAGATTATTTCATGGCTTATCTTTCTCTACTCTGATGCTGTGCGCTATACTGACGCAGTCTCCCTCCCAGCCAAACCAAGCCATCATACGGGTCATCTAAAATGACTGCAGTACACACACAATAAGCTGTTAAAAGCTTAGTTGGATAGCTAACTGAGATATCAGTCAAATATGAAAGCACCACTTGTTATGACTCTAGCAAAGCCCTACATGGTGATAAGAACTCAACCATACTCAACACTGGACCCCTCCCATACCGATCCAAAGATCCACAGCGCATGATGCAAATGAATGTGATTAAATGTAATTGAATATAGGAATGAATGGTGCCTGTATAATACCATTAGAAAGCATGCATTGGCACCAGACTGCACTAATCAAGAGCCATGCCATTGGTGGGGGAGGGGGGGGGTAGCACTAAGAGAGGCGAAGGCAAATAGGCAGAGAGGATCACTATGGGGAGATCACTGACACTGACGTCAAGCAGTCTGCTAGGGATTGTAACCTTTTGTAAACACAAATCACAGGCAAACACTGATACAGATATCTGTTTGAAAAACAAAATGACCTTTTTGTTTAAAATCAGTATCACCTCTCTGGTGGGATAGCTAACCATCCATTTCTTAATGTAGCCTGACCTTATTTTTAATAAAATAAATAAACACAAAGACTTAGAATATTATTAAGAAATATCATTCAAGCAAATTATAACAATGAGAACTATAATAAAAATTGGAATTCACCATGTTGAGTGATTATAAAGCACACTTAATGGATAAATTCTTATAGGCTCATGGCACACATGAATGTAAACAACCCCAAAACCAACACAAAGAGCACCAGTCCAAGTATATAATGGAAGTTTATGGTCAGACATAGGTTATACACACATAAATACAATATGTGGTGCATATATCCTATGGTAAACAATGCAACACAACAACAATCCTTACTACAGTCTGCCCACATTATTTCATCTTTCTCCACTTTGATGCTCATGTGCTACACTGACGCAGTCTCCCCACACCAAGCCATCTATCTGGATTGAATTATGTATTCCCCAGCTCGCACCACATGGGCTGCATAACAAACTGCCTGGCACTGTGGTGTCCTTTTGTTTCCCACCCAGATAGAGAAACCTTAAATGGGATGATTAATATTATATGAATCTCTGGTTACTGTGAGAAGGCAGATGTTAAATAATGAACACCTGAAAAAGAAAAGTTGAGTTTTTTTCTTTTTCTGAACAGATGCAAAAAGACACAAATCCTAACTAAAGTGAATGTTTAACTCCCTTTACAATGGATATTTACTATGCATTGAGAAAGGTGCCCCTTGACTCACCCTGACAACATAAGATGCCCCTGATCCTGCAATCTTCTTGTCAGGGTGCAGCCAGCCTTGAGAGGGTTTGTGGATAAAACTGCCCTTTTGGCTGAAGTCCTCTCCACCCAGCCACATACCTTCCACTCTTGTTCTGCGATTCATTCCTAACCTGGAACTGCTGGAACTCCCGGGGCTTGCCATGACCTCTGCTGCCCCAAATCCGTGCACCCCTGAACTGGCAGAGTTTGCCACTGCTACTGCTCTCTGTCCTCGGATAGCCTGAAGGGAACAGGGAGTGACACAACCAGGGTCACAGGAGTTAAGCACCGCTGCCAGACTGGCCACTGGACCACTAACTGAAGTTGCACCACTGGGCCTGTGTGATGCTGAAGAAGGGGAGACAGAGGCCTGGGAAGAAGCTGCTGCTGCCTTGCCCGAGTCCTTGCTAGAGCTGGAACTAGAGTTGGACGGGCTCCGGCTAAGCAGGGAGTTGGAGAACTTCCACTGGGGCATTTTAGGGATAAGCATGCAGAAGGTTGTGACAGCATCCTGTTCCCCATCCAGGCAAGGAGAGTCAGCCAGAGCTGTAGCCCCAGCAGAGGAGGAGGACCTGGTACTGGGATCCAGAGGAGGCAGAGGAGGCAGGGGAGGCAGTGGAAGGCTTGGGGAGGAGGAGGGGACCACTGGTGTGGCCACAACTTTGCCGCTCATGGCTAAGCTCTGCATCAGGTCATCGGAGGAGGTCACAGACTCATTGCGAAACCGGCCATACTTTGGCTTAAGGAGCATGCCCGGAGGAGCCGCTTGAAGCAGGAGCTGAGAGGGGGATAACTGCCAGAGGATGAAGGGGGAAAGGGTAAAGGGGGAAGGGAGAAGGGGAAGGTGTGATGGAAGAGGGAGAGAAAACTACAGAGAAAATCTTCCCGGCAGAGTCCTATATCCCTGTCAAAGTCAACTGAACGCTGTCTGGTCCTGTCTGGTTCGCACACGCGCACACACACTGCCCCACTCTCATGCCGCTCTGCTCTCTGTCTGAGCTGGCCTGCTTCCTTTCACTGTCTTAGGCAAGCTCGCTCGTTCGCTCCCAGTCTCTCTCTCTCTTTCTCTCTCTCTGGGTGATGTCATTGGGTCTATTAGCCCTGCCCTGCCCAGCTGCTCTCAGACAGTATTAGCTAAAACACATCTGCCTGAACCACCCTGCTCTCAAACACAAACACACATCAATGTTTTTATCTCACAAAATGTGAAATATTGAATTTCAAAGACATAAAATAATCATTTCCACTTGATTATTTTATGTTACTGAGGTGATAAAGATAAACATATGCAGAATAAACAAGAATTCCTTTCTCCTGCAACTTGACACAAAGTGGACATCGACTAGGTTGCCTAGTTTTTGGTTTCCTTTCTATAAATCCATCAACGTAATTTTCTGATTTCTCATAAGCATTTATTGTACCAGGCCTATCATTAGCAAAAAACTGAAATAAAAATACATGCAGAAATATTTTGCATTACATGATTAAAGAAAAACAATACAACAATCCCCACTGATGGGTCTATATTGAAACACAAAATATACATTTATTGTAAATATACATGTACACAGGCATGAATGCCTTCTAATTATTTTAGGTGTATTTTATGCATGTGTGTAGTTCAATTTGTCCTGGCAACAGACAAAAACTTAACAAAGGAAACAATGCAGCCATGCTCATGAGGGAGTACATCTATAAACATCCACCCTAACCCATCTGTCTGAATTCTCTTCCCAGCTTCCCTCCCATCCACCTCCCCAGAGAGCAATCAGCCATCTCAGCACCATCCTTTTAGCTCCTAATTTGCACCCTCCCTCATCTCTTGTCTAATTCTCATGCAACTGTGTTTTCTCATGTTACACAGAAGTAGCATAAGGTACAGTATGCATCATCGGTCAGAATTCTCACTGTAAAGCTCAAAGTGGGTTAAGCAGGGCTTTGCACTGCACAACTTTTTTTTTTCTAGTTGTCAATACATGCACACAGTTACTATAAGAGTGAGTATAATAAGTTATTAAAAAGAATGCAGATGTCCGGAATGACCCAAGATGAAAGGTTACCCGGCATATTGGAAAAATAAGAGAAAACTGACAATCATTGTGAGAACAGAAGCAAAGACTTACTGTAGTGGTCAAAAACAAACATCTGCAAATATACATACAGTATATATGAACAATGTCTGGAAAGACTGTGAAATAAGCCTATATGTGTCATGTGTTTAAAAAAAAAAGAAAGAGTAGTAATGTATGGACTAAATAATGCCACCTACACACACAAGAAAAAGCTCATTATATGTTACTATCAGTAGTAACAACTACATAGTTTTGTTCATTTCGGACAATTCTGACCAAAATATGTTCAAATTATTTATTCTGAATGTTAAGGACACAATAACATTTACAAATTAAAGGTTATTCAAAAAGGCATCAGAGGCAGAAAGCTTACACTGCAGTGTATGTCAGACTCTGAGGGGAAAACTGATGAAAATAAGATCTAGTCCAGCAAAGCTCCAGTGACTTTTACCAGAGAGGAACCACATGCTTTATAGTATGAAGTGCCTGTAGCTATGGTTGAATAAAAGGACAATTTCATTTTGCCAGTCACAGTCATAGACCACATTACCACGAACCACATGCACTGACAAACCCATGTGCACAAACAAACCACCACCACCACTGTCCTTCCACCTGGCTCCAAACAGCCAGTCACTTTTTGTTTGCTTGCTACAGAGTTTAAGAAGTTAAAAGTTTTATACAGCTATGAATAGGGCTGTGTTTTGGCAAGAATCTGGTGTAACAAAATGTATCACAATAAAGGGATTATGATTCAATATATTGTGATACTGTAAACAAGGAAACACACTGAAATTTTTTTGAACCAAAGTTTTGAAAAACTGTCATAAAACAAGCAACACAACACCATATGCATAAAATTTCATGTAAAAAGTTAATTTTCTTATGTAATCAGAACAGGGATCTGTATTTGCATTTGTAGTAGTTCCTGTAACATCCAACGACATAGCATTACTTGGCATGTGAACTATTAACACAAAATCAATACTGTGTTTGTGAGAATCCATACATTATCACAAAATGTTTTAAACTTAACACCAGGAACCTTTCCAATACAGTTTATAAAAGGATGTCAAAGCTATTTTTGGTAATTTTTTATTGTATTCAGATGTAGTGCTGTTTTACTACTAAGTATAATACATATATCTCTGAGGGTTATTCAGTGTTTTTTGTACAAGAGGTGTTTCTATAATCGATGAAATATGATTTTTTTAAGAAACATACATGGTTGAAATATTGTCTAGTACATAGCCACATTACATTGCTTTTCGTTTTGCACTTGGCTGGCAAAGTCGCAGTTTAGCAGAGAGCGAAATGAGGAGCTCTCACTGAGCCTCACTTTTCAGAAAATCTCTGGCGAAGAATCAAACCTTTTCAAGTTCATCAGATAACTTCCGTTTAAATGCCTAAGACCTATTTAAACTATATGGCTGAAAACCAAGATTATAGATGAAATGTATTTAAAGTGAGAATTTGAAGGGAAATGCACTCACTGCTGTAAACCGTGTTTTCGTATTGCGCTTTCGCGGCGAAGTGATTCATCTTTTTATGTATAGACGATTTCGATGAGAGAGCGGTTTCCTGCACGGTCCGCGTGCTGCTGTCTTGACCAATCCGGGGAATACGCGGAACCGTTGGGGTTTGAATCGTTAGCGGTAGATGACAGCAGTTTGTAAATACTGAAAGAAGTGAGCTAAGCTAACTGATTCACAGGAAATACCTTTTCGGCCTCTGAGTATCACTGCTACCACCAACTGAAGATGTCTAAAAAGCAGATGTACTATTCTGACAAGTACAACGATGAGGAGTTCGAGTACAGGTACCGCCATCGGCATTTAGTAACGTCAACGTTTTCAAAAGTCCGTGTTTGATGCTGTAACATTAGCTAGCTCCAGTGAGGTCGGTTCATGTTAAGTGAGCATGGCTCCACATAACGTTAAAATGCGCTGGAACATTAATACGTAATTTTAAAAACATCATTAAGTACCAGTATAGTAATTTAGTGTTAAGTTTTGTAACTAACGTTATACGCAACCAGACTCCCCCAGGACCATTCAACAGCTAGCCATGCTAACTTGTGCTAATGTTAAAATATGCTTGGTTTGAGTTGGTTGCGATAACGCATACCAGTAAGTGAGGCATCAAGTTAAAGTTAGCCTATGTTAAATTGGCCTTAAGTTAACGTTATTGCTTTAGAGTAATTTTGTCCTAGTAGGTTATTCTTGATTTGTCTTTCAACAGGCATGTTGTGCTTCCAAAGCAGCTGTCTAAACTGGTGCCCTCTTCCCACCTGATGACAGAAGAAGAGTGGAGGGGGCTGGGGGTGCAACAGAGTCAGGGCTGGATTCATTACATGATTCACAAACCAGGTGAGTAATCAAGGAAAAGTTCACATTTTCTGAGGCTTGTCTTAAAGCAATTCTCACAACCCCTGTGTGGAATTACACTGAAAGACCTGTTCATCCCTGTGATCATTCCTTCTGCCTGTACTGATAATGAAGGGGTCCTTTTTATTTAGCAGACCCACAAGAAATAGGAGACCAAATAAAGTGTTTGTTCCATGCCAACCTTAAGTGGGAAGCTCAAACAAAGGAACTATATAATTTTAGTGGTTTGAGTTAATGATATCAAATAGGTATTTATTTCAAAGTTAGTTGTTTTGTTTTTTTTAAGAACAAAATACCCCTTTGTGTTACCATCTGTCCACTGCAACTCAGCAGGGATATATTGTCTGGGGAAAAGGAAGGAGGGAAGTTTTCAACTTGAAACACTAACTTTTCAAGATACCCAATTTTCTTGTCACAATCTGACTGCTCAAGCCTCATTTAGCTTCAGCCCAATGCAGTTTTTCAGTAACTCTTGATGTGCAACTCATTGGCATCTGAGTATACTGTAGTATTAAGGTATACATGGAAAAATGTTAACGTATCTGTTAATAGCTTCTAGCATAACCTGTCTCATTAGACCATGTTGAAAGTAGATTGACATGGATGACAGCCTGTGTGCATTGCACTACATTGTATGTGTAACCACTATACTGTCTGGAGTACTGACAGATACTACGTCTTTGCTTTACTCTGCAGAGCCACACATACTGCTTTTCAGAAGGCCTCTTCCAAAGGATTGAATGAAAACCATCTGTAAAATACCTGCCAACGTCTTTGTTGACTTGTACTGACTTTGGGCCATGCATCTCCCATACATTTGGATGTTTCTACATATGTTCTTATGTATTGTGTAGAAAACCTTTAGCTGTTTTGTTGTATGTTCTTTCAAACTCCCTCAGTTTTTAGAGGTAATGAGAGGAATGGCTTAATCACACTGTGAATGATACTTTAACAGTATGAAGGAGAGTTTCTTGTACATTTTTAAGTGTTTCTAATGTCATTTTGTTGAAATTGATTTATTTACTGAGTGGTCAAATTTATTGTATTTTATTTTTCTTAAGATATTTCTCCAAAAGAGCATTCTGTCTTCGAACACTTATGTTTTTATCTTTACGTACATACATTTTCTAGATATTCTAAGTTTTGAATGTCATGATTGAAACAAAATAAATTTGACCTTCTTCACGTTTGGTCCTGCATATTTTCCTACTATTGCAGAATTATGTTTATATAATTTTCTTAGTGATTGCTATTCAGTCAGAAACATAGACAACTAAGGGGGTAACAAATTCTGAGTGTCTGATGCCCAGGGAGTAGGCTGGAGCCCGGGCTTTGTGAACCGTCACTTTCTCTGGACTGTAAGCTCCAGGACCGGGCTTCTTTGTGGCATTTCTAGGGAAGCTGCGGCGTCCCAGCATGGAAAATGCCGGCTGTCGGGGTAAATATATACTTGGGTCTGTGCTGTTGTACCTGCAAGGCCCTGGTGTTTTGGCTAAATCCACAGATGGGCCCCTTGTGCTATAACTACCCGAGATGGTGTAGCTTGCACTGGCTGGTTTGTTTGGGATTTGAGGGCCCATGACTGGAGGGAGACTGTACTTATTGGGAGCAGGTACTGAGTCGATGGTGCGGTAGTTTGTGCGAGAGCCCATTGTGTAGGATGGGGCTCTGCGTTGGAGGTTGCATGGTGGGGTTTTCTCAGGGCTGTGAGCACCTGGTCCAGGTGTCTGGAACAGCTCCTCTAGTGAAGAGAAAACAATATCAACTCAACACCATATGGCAGAGTGTACTCAGTAGGGTTCAGATTTTCAGTTACAAACAGCTGACACCAGGTTTCAAATGTCAAAAACATGACTTGTGCAAGTCTTTTTTTTTTTTTAACCATAACAGGGTTACACATTAGGATGTAATTATCTTTGACAGAAAACATTGACCAAAAATAACCATTTGCTTATAATGGAGGAGTAGGAGCTTACTCTGTGTTTTCATTCTGCCCAACATTGAGTATGCAGGTGTGCCATCCTTTCCAAAGCGTGTGATTTTTGCATCAACATGGTAGAGAGGCCCTGGACTGGAGTCAATGTAATACACTGCAGGGAAAGCTAACATTTACAATCGATTGAATATTATGTATTTGACAGTTTAGTTTGATCACATTACTGTTCCAAAAAAGAGTTGCTAGAGTACAGTATATTTGAGAGCCTAAGGTGAGAAGGACAATTGTGAGGTGTTGTCTCCATCTGGTGGTTATAATATGACATTACACCGTATAGGAATCATACTTCTGACTCAAGCTGATGTTTGTTAGTGCTGTCATACACACACTGAATCTTCTCATGAAGCTCTTAAGATGTATTTTCAATCATTTTATATTGCCTCCACACTACTGTTTTGAGGTTGTCTGCCCAGCCCATTCTCATGAATCTTAGTGCCTTGAGGGATTTTGACACAAGTGTACTTAGGCTCAAGGATTAGGATTCGATTGGCAAAAGACACTATATCCTGACATCTGTCCCATGGGATTCCCATGGGAATTTAACTGGTTGGTGGAGGCCAAGTAGCAATGCAGTTTTTTTATTACATATTGTTTTAATCTACTATTTAAATGTACTTTGACACCACAGGGTAGAGAAGCTGGAATAATAACAGAAGGGCTGTAGGCAGCAGAGTGGCATGGAGGAGGGAGACACCATGTCCTGCCCCCCTATCAATGGGTTTATCAGACACTGAGTTAATGCAGCTTGTAAATATATGTTTAATTAACAATCAGGTCCAGTTTGAAGTAGTAATTTCCTTTAGTTTGATGTTGGTGTAACTATACAAAGTATATAACATGTTTTGTAATGCTTCTCTTGGTGCCAGCAGTGATCAGACATACTATATCTTTGAAATCAAAATTCTGAGCAAGACAGCAGATGGACATTTAGTTACATAAATAATGCTAATAATAATAATAATAATCTCAGATAATGAGGGAAATAGAGAAGCTCACTCTTGTCACACATCCTGCCATGGAAGGAATAGGCAGGGTTAGCTGGCTTGGTGAAGTCATGGCCAATAAATCCGATGGTGGGAGGAAGCCCATAGCGTCCAGGTCCTGGGCCTGGAGACGGGGAAATGTCACAAAAGTGAAGGATCTGCACAATCTCCACATCTTATTCACAATCCCACGTACACATCATGTGCCATAAATTATATTTACAAAGTAAAAATAAGATATGCAATTAGACATGATATGGATTAATGGTTTATGATCTTCCCAGAGCTATGTATGTGTGTGTGTGTGTTTAATTTGAGTGTTTTCTCATACATGACTAAAGCCCTGACCAGGATGTTAAATTAGAAACACCTGTTAATTTGTTGATGTCACTGATTATAGATTGTTCTCAGATGTGAGATGTGAGCACAAATGTTTGCTTGCCACAAGAGAGCGGTGGGTCAAAACATCATCTATACGTATTTTCTAAATATAACATGAAAGCTTTTAGTGTGCGGTCATTTCTCTCATTTTTGATTCAATTTGTCATGGCCAGCGCCTGTCTGATAGGTGTGCACTGATGCTAAGTTAATTTAGACAAATAGCTACTATGCAGGACAATGCTGTAGGCAGTAGCACACAACCTAAGGCAGGGAAAACTACATTAACATATTAGTGTTAAATAACATGTACATAAGCAAAGCAAGTGGGAGCATTTTTCAAAGACTAGAGAGTGTCCTCGCACATATGCACACTGACAAAATCCTCCTTTCTGTTCAAGTCTGTTCCCATTTTCAATCATGGAATAATACATAACCAGGTGAATGTAACTAATTATACTGAACCCTGTACATGTGGATTGACATATTCAGTAAAAGTAGCCTTAGATTTTCATTGATTAACTTACCTTTTTCTCTTCCTGCAATTACTGGATGTTTTTTCTCCATTGGACTCTGATGGACGCTTCAGAAATCACTCAGTGGTAGCAGTGCTACAGAAATAGGTCAGTCACAACAAGAAGCTGGCTAAAGAAGTAACTGACCATATTAAATCTGCATAAACCTAAAGACTTTTTTTTTTTAACATCTTACCACTCTTCTTTAGACAAAATGAAGGCAGGTTCAATATGTGGATATTCAAACCGTCAGCAGATGAGTGTCAGAGCACCACACACCTTAATCCATCTCCACCTCCAGATATCATATTAATGTTTCTCCAGGATCCAGCATTACATGTGACTTAGCTGTCACTGAAACCCCGAACCTCGGATGATCCTGAATCAATCCCTAATTTTCTCTGGAACAGTTGGAAAACATGAGACACATAACACTTATTAAAGTGTCAGCAAAAGAGCTGATTCTACACTAGATGGGCTTTTATCTCTTCGTTTGTCCCTTTGTCCAAAGGCTCCATCTGCAGTGGCTCAGACAGGTGAGCAGCCCTTCCTCCACAGAGCTAGATGTATACTATAGGTGCACTCAGCTGGTACTTAGGAACAATGTCATCAATCCAATTCACTCTCATGTAATGCTAGCTCACCCCCCTGTAAACCATGAAACCATAATCCCCCTGTCCCTCCTCTGTTTTCACTCTTTCTGCTCATTGCAGTGTGGAGATGCAACATCACTCATCAGCTAAGCATGTAGTTGCCACAGAAACCGCTGTGGATAGTTTGCTGCAGCAGGTCCCCTGTACTGCTGGCTTATGGGGAACAAAGGTGTCCCATTTGGAATGGATCGGTGAATCACACCATCTCTAGTCTGAACTTGAAAGTTTTTGTGATGGTTCATAATGTCTACCTCAAATTTTATATTAAATTAACTACTGACCAGTGATAGAGAGAATTCATACAGTTTCTATATACATTTTCTTCATCCAGACACACACACAGTCCCAACACAGATCTGTGGTGATATGCGGTGCAGTAAATGGATCAGTTACACACTGACCACCCTCACTCAGCATGCTCCATTTATCTAGTCATAACCTCCCAGCATACAGCTGGGAATAAAACTAGCAACCCTCTGGTTTCTTATCTTTAACTTAAGGTCAACCTGACTGCCCAGTTGTAGTTACAGTTTAGCTCCTTTTTCTCCTCTAAACTCAGCGATGGTTTGTAGCTGGGATATGAAAGACATGTTTAAGGACTTGAGTTGCTAGTTGCCAGAGGCCACAGTAACAGAAAGGGTCAACAAGTGATGGGGGCAGAAAATAAACATTAAACTTTAACAGGCCATAACTCTCCCCTGGCTGCTGCTGCTTTAGTAACCGAATCTGTTGGTGGTGGTAACACAAACACATACCATCCGATGCACGTCTAAACTTAGAGGTGTATGCAGTATGTACATACTCATATACACATGTATATGCTTTCTGTCTCTAACACAAACACATGCCAGGGGGGTCAGAGAGTCCGTTTTCAAAGCAGGGGGCCCTCTGAAGCAGCAGGGGGATACTGTAATACAGCTCACTGCTGACAGGAAATTATCTCCAGACTTAACTCTGAAAGGAAATGGAGCAACATAGCATTCATAAAGGACTGCAGCTAATCTGCTAATGGAGCACTTGCATGTACTGTGCTGTATGAGATGGCCCTGTTTTAAAGAGTGGCGAGGGTTACTGTGTTGATTTCTCACAAAGTGTGGTAGCAAAATGCAGAAGCCATGACTTAAAGCCAGGCAGTCTGACCAGACACATGGGCAAGGTCTTGTCTGCCTTTAATCACAGCATCAAAGTTTGCATGTGTAAAAGCAACAAAACCAAAAAGCCTCAAATGTATACAAATTTTATTCTCATTTGTTTTAAAAAGCACAATATCTGATATGAATCTGGGCTGCATTTAATCAAATCTGGTATATTTAGAAAAATTCAAACTCTTGATTTTTAAGTTGATTGCTTCATAAATCAAAAGTCACACACACACACACACACACTCACACACACACACACACACACACACACAAACATGATAGCTTATGAACTGTATAATCAAATCTCAAGGTAGTACGGTTGAAAGGTGACTTGAGAGTAGGTGATGCTGGTGTTTTGGTATGAGAGTTTCAGAAACATGTGAGCTGGTGCGTCCTGGTGCACCTGTGCTCGACACATCTGTCATAACTGTGAAGTCCACGGTTTGAGTCGGCCAGAGGCCTTTGTTGCATGCCGGTTCCCCTCCCTCATGTTTCCTGTCAATCTCTTCTACTGTGCTGTCTCAATGGAAAACAGCTCGTGTTTCCGTAAAGCATATGGTTAGCACGTCTTTCTCCACCAGGATGCCAGCACAAGAATATCATAATTGGGTTAAAGCTTCCTATGGAAAATAAAAGCCTTTGATAACACATACTGCATCTCTTGTTTGTACTGAAAGAACCATAAAGGTAAAAAGTTGACTGTGTGAGTGGGCAATGACAAAAAAATAAAAAATGATAGGACCTCTAGCTACAAATAAATACCACAGATAGAAAATATAATAAAATATTTTGCTTACAGTCAGGTGTAATTACAAACATAAATACTTGATTATTTGTTCTAGTGATTATACTGTAAAGGCAGTACACTGAATAACAAAGATGCTATGGGGCCTGTTGGTGACTAGAAGTTTGGAGGAAGAAAAAAGTCTGGAGGACACTAGCTTAATAACAATCACACACAGTCACATCAGACCCACACAAACATATAAAATGATTTTCTCTGACTCCATTCAACCCAATCTGACACCAAATAACACACTCTCACACCAAGTCACACTTTCCAGAGTCCACCACTTCTTCGTTTCAGGCCGAGCAAGTCTCTCTTCTCTTTCCATTCACTAACATATTCACAAATAATGTACAATTTGGAGGTGGGGATGGTTTCACTGTGTGAGGGTTTCTGTGGACGACAGGAGAACAGAACAAACTTTCATTAAATATCATCTCACAAACTGTTAAACCATCTTTCACTGGACAATATAAAATTGTAATCAACACATGTGGAGAGACAATGTTATTCAACTACAGCGGCTACAGTCGTAAATAGGTCCATCTTTACCATTATTATCAAGGACTCAGTTGTGTAATTGAGCATGAATAAGTATCTATCTGCACCTGAACATAGTCCTCAACAAATGCATACCCCTGTGTGGGCAATGTTTGCCAAAAGTGATTTAGTGTATTCATTTGATTGGTTAGGGAAGTCAGAAAGTAGTATAGTAGTACAAGTAAAATATTTTTGGTTGCGGTACTTTTGTGAGATTTGTTGACATTAATAAAAATATGGGACAGCTCCTGTTTTATCCAAGGCAAGGCTGGATCCTTATACTTATTCAAAAAGACAGTACACTAGAAAAACTCCAGAAAAAAGTGTGAGGAAAATAAAACAAACAATGATAATGCTGCTCATACCATCGTTCAGGGGTGTTTTTTGTGTCCAGTGTGTATAGCTGGGTATCTGCCGGCAACAGCACCACCTGCTCTACATCCTCCCCATCTTCAGGAAGGTCAAAATGGTCCCCCCCCTTTGCATCAGAAAGGAAAGGCTCCGAATCTGTGTCATATTCATAGGAGTAGTAGGACACCTCTGCCATGGACCCCTGCTCCTCTTCACCTGGACACATCGGGGGTGGGGTGACAAATACAGACAGAGTAAACCAAATGAGAGCCTGCACAGATAAGGCTTTGATTACAATCTGAGATTACAATCTGAGAGGTATATAGTGAATAAAACTGTATTATCTTTATATAGATAAAAAGTTAACAATCCCCAGATTGAATTATTTCATAAAGGTCCACCCTGTGAATGCACCACTAAAGAATTAACATTGATGCAGAGGACCAAAGGTTATTACACTCTCTTAACTTGTTCATCATGAAAACCTTCTCCAGTGAGGACCAGCGGCCTTCAGTACCTCTATTAAAATGCCCACAGCTTGTTTGTCAGGGGCTATAAGAAAGCCCAGAGCTGGTATTCAAAGGTTGCGTGCCATGGAGACTTACTATCCAGTGCATCTCAAAGTCTTCTGCAGCAATACCCCATAAATGACAGTAGGGGTCCTTCCATACTTGAAATGTTCTCCCATGCTACTTCAAAATCACTATTTTTACATGAGTGAATGGCTTCATTAAACATAATACATTTTACACTTGCACTTATTATGTTCAGATTTAGCTTCTTTAAAGCTTGGAGTACATATTGGACTTTATGCAACATCAACAGTTTCCTGATAAAGGGGACCTTTTGGGGCATGTCATACCCCTCTTTCTCCCCATGTTTCCTATCTCTCACTATAAAGATTATAAAATAAATGTCCAAAAATCTTTTTTAAAAAGTTAAAAGTTGAATTACATGACTACACATTAAGGCAAATATCCCTACATGAGGCTGGAAAGTCTGCATGTCCATAATATTGCATGCACTCCTCTGGTACAAGTTCACTAATGAGACAAGTCTGCACAGGGAAGCTAATTCCAGAGCTTCAGCTTCCTCCACTGTTTCAGTTGAAACTGTCAATTCCTTGGCACAATTCACCTTCACCTATTACACTCTGTGGACTTAGCGGGCATGTCTTCAACACTCTAATGGTTTACAATGACAGTGTTTTTACAGTACTTATTCAAACTTATCAGCCCAGGGTTATCATATTGTAGATGACTGTTTGTGTGTCTGGGGGCGTATTTGCCTGTGTGAGCCTGCATCAGGTTAGTGTGTGTGTGTGTGTGTGTGTGTGTGTGTGTGTGTGCAGTCATCTCAAAGACTTTAGATATTCCTCAGTCCACAGTTCGACATATTGTCTATAAATAGAGATGATTTGGTGTTGTGGCTACTCTGAATAGAAGTGGGCACCCAGCCAGGATCACAACGCAGAATGCTCAGTGAGGTAAAAGAGAACCCTAGAGTAACAGTTAAAGACTTGAAGGATTCACTAGAGCTGGTGAACATCTCTGTTCATAAGTCAATCATATGCAAAATACTGAACAAGCATGGTATGCATGGCAGGACACCAAGGAGGAAGCCATTGCTCTCCAAAAGTTACATTGCAATGGACAATGACCCTAAACACTGAAGTGTTTTACCATCTTAGAAATATTGTGTTTGTCGATATTTGTGACTTTAGTGAAGATCAGATCACATTTCATGACCAATTTATGCAGAACACCAGGAAACTGCAAACAGTGCTATTACAGTCACGGCCAAAAATATTGGTACCTCTGCATTTCTGTCAGCTGACGCATCACTTCTCCCAGAAAATTGTTGCAATCACAAATTATTTGGCATTCTTGTGTTTATTTCTTTTGTTTGCATTGGAACAACACAAAAAAGACCACTGTTCTTTTGCCAACTGCTCCAGGTCTCTCAGATGTGAAGGGTTCCTTCTCCCACCTGCTGT